CATGATAGCTAGTATTATTTTGCTGACCGGCACTGCTCCGGTCCCCTCTAAGTCCTTCCTCTTCTGGCTGCAGCTTGCTGAGAAAAACACTTGAAAGTCTTTCACTCTCCACGCCCACGCACTTAAAATACCAAGCCCATAGGTCATTTTAATAAGGGAATTTGGCTAATAACACATGTGCGCTCGAGGCTGCAGCTCCCACGTCTGCAGGTGCTGGCCAAGCAGGGCCTTGTCTGAGCATCCATGGGCCTGGGTGGGTGGAGAGCAGAGCGCATGGTTCCTGCAATCCGGGCACATCCTCAGATGTGCCTCTAGCTCCCTGGAGGCCATCGTCGGTAATGGTGCCAAGCTCAGCTGGAAAAGTCCGAAGGAATGGAGGTCAGGTTTTCACCTGGGGGAAAAACATGACACTCACCTGTGAGGAAAAAGTCGCCACGGTCTATAGATAAGAAGCAGATGTCTCCATTGGTGATGTGCCTGCTTCACAGGCATGATGCCCCGAGTCTCATCCCCAGAAGGATGTGGAGACACACACATTCCTAGGGCTCACCGATAAGTCAGCCTAGGTGAATCCACAAGTCCCAGGCCAGTGAGAGACCCCGTCTCAATAACAAAATGGGAAGGGCTTGAGGAACGGCACCCACGATTGACCTGTGACCTCATGTACACAGGTGTGTGTGCACGCACACATGCACACACATTGGCTGTAACCAGAGAGCCCATTGTGAGGGCAGCCACTAGTTTATCTCCTCCCAGGTAAATCCCATTACTGACGTGAACTCTCCCTGCTGCAATCGTGGCTAAGTGGAAAGTCCTCGTCTCTACAGGAAATGATGAGCAGGGTCCTCGCCGGCCTCTGCTGCACCTGAATTCCTTTCCTAAGTCAGTCTCTGGTTAACTAGGGATTTCACCTTCTCAAAGTCCCAGTCCACTCCAGGAGACTGCCACTGAGCCCTGACCTGGGTTCATAGGCAGCTTCCTAGAACGGTTTTGTGCATTAGGGTCACAGGGGAAATTTTCACTTTGGGGGATGGCAGGTGGGCGGGGGGGAGGTGAAAGAAGGCTCCTGAGTTTGGTTTTGGCACAGGTGGATCCTTCTGACACCAGTGAGAAGAACTCAGAGGGTGGTGACTAAAGCTTAGGATTCCTTTCTCTGTGTTTAACTTAGTTGATTAATTCAATGTTATATGTGTGTGTGTGTGTGTGTGTGTGTGTGTGTGTGTGTGTGTATGGTGTTGTTGCATGTCTATGGAGGTCAGAGGGTAACTTGTGAGAGTTGCCTCTCTCCTCCCGTTATATGGATCCCAGATGAAAGCCAGGCTGTCCAGGTTGGCCGCAAATACCTTTACCCACTGAGCCATCCCGCCAACCCACGCTGAGTGATTCTGAGAACGTAACTTCACCTTTCTCCGTCTTAGCTTTGCACCCTGTTGAGGAATAGTGAAACCCGCCTTGCTCGGTTCACGAGTCGGTTGTGGCAGCCAAATGAAGTCACATATGGGAGTGTACTGGGAACATGGTTAGCTCTACAAACACCTACAGGTGCTGGCATTTTGAGTGCAAATCTCCTTGTTGCTCTTTAGGAAATGGTTGAGAGAGTGGTTTAGGGGGCGATGGGGGTAGGGCTGTTTCACAGTTTAGAAACCCTTGGGATGACAAGCCTGGTGTGCAGAATGTGCCCTGAAAGTCCGCACCCAGCCAGACTCTCAGAATACGCTCTGATGTAGAGTAAATTCACAGGTCCAGTGAGGAGAAGTGTTTGTTTTTGAGCCCATGCATAGTAGCCTTCTAAGGATGGGGAGATTCAAGGGCTATCCTATAGGAGGGTACCATAGAGAGATGGAGTCCCTGCAGAAGGTTGATGCTGCTGACATTCTCAGGGGGTCAGGAGGAGAAGGGAGGAGCCTAAGGGAGCAGTCCTACAGCACTGAATCTGTGTGCAAGAAGCCAGCCTACTGTATTGCATCAGCCCCAAGTTTGTTGGAATTCAATCATTCTTGAGGTTTTTGCAGTAGAGAAGCTCTAAGCATCAGAGGGCATGGGCCACCATGAGTCTGTTCTTGGTGATGCCATGCTGGATAGACACAGGTCTGTAACACTTCCTCAGGGAGCTACAACACACACTACAGGCAACAGTGGCTGAACCCACAGAAGACACTATCAGAGAACTTTAGATGCTACAGGAGTCCTGCAGCCTTGAGCTGAGAAGAAAGCTGTCAGAGAGCTAGCTACCAGCTCCAGTGTCGGCATCCCACTGCCTCAGGCTCAGAAGACAGTGTCAGAGAGCTGTGCGCCGTACCACAAATATCCTTGAACTGGGACCAAGAGAGGCAAAACCGTGGAAGAATCCAGATCCTCTAGCTCTCCAGCTTGAGGCTCCATATTTCATTGTCCCCTTACTCCCCCCAACACACACACCCAAGGCCAGCTCAGGACTAAGCCACGCCACCATCTGTCACTGGTATCCCCCTCCCCACCTCACGACCTTCTGCTACCCTAAGCCTCCACCTGCTCTCCTTTGACATCTCTGAAGGATGCTAGTCTTTGGAGAACATAGTCCCTGCCCTCAGGCAGATTAGGCTTGGACAACCACAAATGCTGTCAAAGCAGACATCTTAATTAATCTAGGTAAAGAGTGATTTGTGGGGCTATCTGAAATAGTCACAAGCAAACCCATCCTTAGGGAGGGTCACCTGAGAAGCAGGTCAGCAGCAGCTGGCTGGCCTCTGAAGATGGGAAGACCCAAGCAGGGGAATCTGGGTGGCTGAGGAAGTAGTAGTGGCTGGGGAAACCACAGGGTCCCAAGACCCTAGCTCCAGAGCTGAACTCATGGGATGCAGGAGTGAGTAAATCCAGGGAGAAGATTCTGGAAGCTAACTCTATGTCCCTGATACAAAGGGTAGCCCATCGTGGGTTCTGGCTGAGAAAGGTCGGCCCACTGTGAGCTCTTCCGGAGGCCTACCTTATAGCAGCAGGACCATGTGACTGTTTATACAGCCAAAGACAACCGAGAGTGATGGGTAGCTGCCTCAGGCCTCCACATCAGCACACCGTTCTGGGCATGTGCAGCTTCAGCTTCTGTTGGCCATCCTCTAGGTCGGCTAGACGCTATAGTAGAAAACCACATAGAATATGCCCTGGTGGTATCTGCTGGTATCTGACACAACAATCATGGCAGCATCTTTTGTGGGCAGGAGGCTGACTGAGGAGATGGGGGAGTCAGGTACAAAGCCTCATGAGCCATAGAATCTCTAGAAACCACTCCTGCCTGGTCACTTGGGCCGCTCATGGCGCAAAATCGACCCCATCACTGGCCTTATCTGCCACTGTTGCTCTTTCTGTCATAGGCTTTAGTAGTCAGATTGCCGACAGACACCCCAGGATTATTTAGGAACAATTTTTATGATTAGGAGTGCAGCTTGCTGTGGTCATAGATTGTAGTCTCAAAAACATGTTTATATATATATATGCACATATGATACAATATATGTGTATGGAACATCAATGGCCTTAGGTTGCATTCATGGGTAATTTCTTAGTGGCTTTCACCCATATTAAAACACATATGCCAGCTGGAACAGTGTGCTTCTTCTAAGGAGGGTGGGCAGGTCAGCTGGGTTTGAAAATCGCCAATACCTGTTGAAGCCAGTGGGCACGGTTTGTTCCCCTTTTGTCTGAGTTTCCTTGCGTACTGTGTGGGTAAGACGAGAAACTGTATTAACTGAAGAACTGACGTGTAGGTAGAAGAATTAATGCCGCACTCAGCCAGACACTTGGATTCCGTGTGGAGCTCTGAGAGGTCGAGAGAGACGCGCAAACATTGGAGCCTTTGCTCGCTGAGGACAGACACTGTTACAGTGCTTTGCCTCATTTATTCCTCCCCCAGCCCCAAACTGTTCATACATTTGGAAAAGCTGCCTGTACCTATTTTTCAGGCAAGAACATTGAGCTACAGAGATCTTATGGCTTGTTAGAGTAAAACAGTGGGAATTCAAACCCAGAACCCACTCTCTGAAGTGACGGAGAAGTAGTGTATTTGTTTTAACTCAGAGCCGACCTCTCCTGGAGACATGTGAGGTGTTCAGAGAGAGCCAGGCACACTTTGGTGTGAACTACGCGTTTGAATCTCAGTCTGCCGGCTGCGTAGCCTTGCTCTGCCCTACCCATTAATGTTTGTGTAACATCTACTCACCTGGTATTTATAAGTAGTATTTATCATCAGCCATCAACGGCTAATACGCACCGAGAATAATTTCTAGTTTAGCATGTTTTCACACTTAGAAATTCAATCTTTGCTGATTTGGTTAGTTTGTTCATTTGTTTTGAGACAGTGTCTCCTGTAGCCCAGGCTAACTCGCTACGTATCTGAGGAAGACTTTGAACATCTGATCCTCCTGCCTTCATTTTCTGAGTGCAGGGATTGCAGGTGGGCAGCATCATGTCCAGTTTATGCAATGCTGGCATAAAGCCCCGGGATTCATGCTTGCCAGACAACCGCTCTACTCTCTGAGCTATACTCAGCCCAGCCCAAAAAAGTCTGTCTTTTCTAATCCTCAGAAGTACAGAGAAAAAAGGGACATATGGGGATAGCTGCTCCTTCTTTTTCTGTGCGTTTCTTTTTTTGGGGGGGCGGGGGAGAACCTGGATTTTATAACTATCCAGGAAGGCAATGGGGATGGGAGGACAAAGGGTGGAAATATTTGTCCCAGCTGGCCATTCCCAAACTCCCGATGTGAGAGTCGGTTCCAATAGCTCCTCATCCTGTTGTTAACTAATGATTGAATTGAAGCCACATAACTATGCAGTGTATCACACCTCCGAACCTACTATGTGCAATTCAGATTATAAACAAAGTCAGAGCCATAGGACCAGCAGGGGCACAAACCCCCTGCCGCAGCTCTCTCACCTTTCCGGTTTGGGGGTGGCGAGCCTGGATTAGCGCAGCAGGTAGACGCTCAGACCACCTCTCACCCTGCCCTGTCCTGTTTGTGTCTTCCCAGGCAAGAGCTTCACCCTCACCATCACTGTCTTCACAAACCCACCGCAAGTCGCTACTTACCACAGAGCCATCAAAATCACGGTGGACGGCCCGCGAGAACCCCGAAGTAAGTGGGCCCCCTCGGGGCTGGTAGCTCTCTGGGCTGGTGTACTTAAAGACCCGCTGGGTCTAACAAACCTCTCTGTGCTTTGGCATTTCTCCTAGAGGCATGCCAGGCCCCTGCAGACAGGAGGAGTTTCCTTGTCAACCCTCTCGCTTCTCAAGGGTTGTCTCTGTGTCTTGGACTTTCTAAAGCTTTGTCTTAGATATCAAAGGGAAGTGAGACCAATTCAAATGAGTTAAGAACAGTTTGGGGCTGCATGGGGCCAAGGAACGACCCTCAAATGTATCTAGGACATACAGCGAGTTCAGTGTGGTCAGTGAAGAGAAGATTGGCCACACACAGGATGAGTAACAGAGACCTGGGCAGAGTAGACCAGAAGAGGCAGCTTAACACCCGTGCTAGTGTTAATTTGTTAAGGCCAGAGGTGAGAACTGTGAAAACATCCGTTTATTCTTCCCTAGTGTAGAATTGTTCAAAATAGAGACTGGACCGGGAGGTGAGTGTTGGGGGTAAACTGGCAAATATAGAAAGATGGTCATGAAAAACAGTTGCCGTGAGGAAGGTGTTTAAAGAGGGAGTGGGGTTGTTTAGTCTGAAGGGAAGACGTCTTCTCCGTGACTTAATGACGACCTGTGAGTTAACACAGAAGTGGCGGTCTTTCAGGACCACACCCTGGCCCAGGAGCTGAGGCTGGACTAGAGCTCCAAGTCTGTTGGCAGATGAGCCCTGAATGGACACCCTCCAAACCATGCCAGGTGTCCCTGGGAAAGATACCCTCAAATTCTGGGATGTTGAAAAGTGGGGTCCCTCCTGTCCCCAGAAGCTATGCTGAAAGAGGTCAGGAGGCCAGAACGAAACCGTTAAGAATGTGGGCCCTAGAACAATGAATTCTTCAGCCTTCAGGAGGTTTCAGAACCTCCCAGAACCCCGGTTCATCTTTGACAAAATGTGTGTATCTTCACAAGATTTAGCTAGATGATTGCCATGTGCCTGGTGCAGGGCATGAGCTTAGGAACTGTCAGGGGTCTGCGGTGGTGCCTCTTCGCCTCATCCCCTCCAGGTGACCTTTCTCATACGGTAGTTTCATTGATGCTCTGAGGTCAGCTCTGGGGTGTGATCCTCAACAGGCAACCTGTGAGCAGGGCAGATCCTCCGCACTCTGGGGTAATAGCCCTTGGCCACGTGACCGACTATGGCTACCCTGTGGTCACTGTGCCTATGGATCCTTCCCCGCTGTCATGGGAATGGCGTCTAGTGTCTGGACTAGCTGTGGAAAACCGGTCATCTCCCTGCTTCCATTTCTCCAGTTTCCCCCAATCAGGGACATGCAGAGACTACCCACACGCACCAGGAATACCCCAGGACACGGTCTTCACAACGACCGCCCTTTCCTCCATTTGCTGTGTTTGGTCGTCCCCTCCTCTCTGCTCTTCTTGTTCCCGGTTTACCTCCCGCCAGTTTTCCAGCCATGATCAGACTCAGAGAACTCAGGGACTTGATCTCACACCCTGACTCTTCTTTACGTGTGGACAGCAGAGCTAGGTGACACACTGCTGTTGCACAGTCAGGGATCCCCGTCGTGTTCCTTGGGTTTCCAGGGTAGACATGGATACTGAAGGGAAGACCTACGTTAAGTGTGACAGAAACACCTGAGGGCCATGCTCAGTGCAGAGGGCTGGAGAGGAAGCAAGCTCAGTGTGGGGCCAAGGACAGGGGCAAGGCTGATGCTGAGGGTGACTGAGCTCATAAGATGGCTCCTTTGGGTGTCCGTGGCTCTCTAAAGCTAAAGCAGCCACGCCTCTAGGACAGTTTAGACATTGGCCCTGCATAAGGAAACAACTTAAAATAGGGGCCCACGATAAGCCTTCTATGCCCCTTATTCTTCCACATGTAAGAAATGCAGGCTTTTACCATATACTTTTTTTTTCCTGGAACATTCAGAACCTAAAAAACAAACGGCAGGGAGAAGGGCAATGGCCCCCATATTGGTACCACTGCCCGTCATGAGGACCAAGTGTTCAGATAACTTAGGAGAGCAGTCCCTGGGAGAAGGGCCTAGGGAACCTCTCCTGTACCCAGCCATTCATCTCAGATGAAACCTGACATCAAGGAAGAGTAAGAAGGGAGGAATAAGGCTAAGTGTGTCATAAAGAGCCATTGTAGCTCCAGGTAGACAGTCTTCCGTTTCACAAGAAGCTTCTAGAACAAGAGTCAAATGCGAATGTAGGCCAACTCTAGAAGCAAGGGTGGGCCATTAGTGGCTCATTTTACCATGTTCTTCCTATTTATCTTTATTTGTTTAGTCTTTTGAGTTGACTGTCCTCTGCCTCTGTCCCTGGAGGGCTGGGATTAAAAGGCCTGTGCCTCATACCCTGTCTCCTTAGCGTCTCGATTCTTCCTGGTGGTGTGCTGCCCACTGTCACCTTTGATGCAATGGCAGGTGAGGGCCCTGTGTGCACGTCAGGTAGCCTGACGCCTGCAGCCACTCTAGCTAAGGAGCTCTGTCCAGCCCCTCATTAGTGATGGATTGAGAACTCTAGGTGCGTCCAGCACAGGAATCCTGGCGTTTGCCAAGCTGAGCAATGCTGCAAGGTTTATTCACTTGAGGAAATCAAAGACTTGGAAAGAAAGACCCTTCTGGTTCCTCTGAGAAAAGAAAAATTAGACCCAGGGAAAGGAAGCAACCTGTCCAGATTTAAGCAGGATGATGAAGTCCTAGGGAGAAGGAGGGTTGCTCACCGTTGTTGGGTCTTGCACTGTTGCCCACCCACACATCTGTCTGTCCATTTGTCCATCAGTTCCATCCATGCCACGCTGTCCGCACTTCCCATCCCATGATCCCTCTCTCCTGGCTTTGCAAATGCTGTATGTGAAACGTGGAGCTGGCATTTATGATTTCTCCCGTGGGACCCAGCTCTGAGGTTGTAAAGCGAGGGCATATGATAACCTCGGTGCTGACATGGTCAGGACTAGAACTGAAGTAGAGCGTGTCCCCAGAGAGAGTCCCAGCCTTTCTGTAGTGCAGATGGTCATTCTCCAGTAATCTTCGGCCACTGCTTTTCACACGTTCCCCGGGATGTGTCTACATTCCAAGTCTCCACGGGATGTGTCTGCATCTCCAAGCCATCCATTTCAATGGTGGGGGAGGAAGAGTGCCCTCAGGTGTTTGTTTTTGGTGGGAAAGCAGAGCCTCTGATGACTTGTTAACATGCTGATAGATTAAGAAGAGATGCTAAAATGATGGTGGTGGCGGTATGTGTTGTGGAGGTCAGAGGTCAGCCATCATCCTCTTCTGCTGTCTGCCTTGTTGTTTTTGGCAGGGTCTCTCCTTGAGCTTGTAGCTCATCCACTCAGCTATGCTAACTGGCCAGTAAGCATCAGGGACCTGCATGTCCGTGTCCTCCAGTGCTGGGGTCACTGCTGCGTGCATACCGCCTCACCTGGCTATTTACATGGGCAGGAGGGACGGGAATGGAGTCCTCGTGTTTGGGTGGCATGTATTTGACTGACTGGGCCATCTCCCCTGCTCTCGTGCCCCAGACAAGGATTCTTCACAAAAGGAGTTAAGAGTTGTTTCCTGCAGCTTCGATATTTCTAGAAACTTAATGGAAAGCCCCAGCTTTCAACCCCTGTGTCTATAATTTAGGAAACTGGAAGTGTTGAACTATGAGAATACGTGTTTCAGGATACATTCTCTTCATATACAGTCTGTGCTGCAGCTTAGATATGTGTCTTGGTTTGGCGTGACAGGAGACATTTTGCTGAGGCGGTTAGGAGAGTGGAGGTCAGATGTCTGGTATGCTGGGTGCATCCTGGAGATGAGCCTGGGGCAGTCTGGATTATAGGGTCAGGTACCTGTGACGTGTGGAATAGAGTCCATTAGAATTCAGAAAGGTCAGGGAACAAACACCGGCAATGTCAGGAGCAGCTCCCCCCACTCCCTGTAAAGCTTCCCTTAGCAGTCACCGTTAGAGTGTCGAGATTCTGTAGAGCCATTCTTGAAGCCATCGTGAGACCAGTCTCACAGACCAGTCTCCTCAATGAAATCACCCTGAGAAGAGGTCAACCGAAGGGCCTCTTGGTCAATCAACTGCTTTTTAAAGAACGTTGTGGAAGTCATCATGTGACTGTAAGTGTGTGTGCATGCTTGTGTGTGTGTGCATGCATGTGTGTGTGTGTGTGAGTGAGGTGTGAGGTATGCATGTTTAAGGTGTTCTCACGTGTGCTCACATGACGGCCGGAGGTTGAGGTCATGTGTCTTCTTCCTCCCCAGCCACCCTTTCCTTTGTCTGAGTCAGGGTCTGTCGCAGAACCCAGAGTCTACTGAGCTTTAAATTCTGGCTAGATTGGCTGATGGTGAGTGTCCAGAATTCCTCCGTCCCCATTCACCAGTGCTGCGGTCACAGGCGTGCACTGCCAAGGCCAGCTTTTGTACGTGGATGCCAGGGTTCCACGTTCAGTTCCTGATCCTTGGGCAGCAAACACCTTACTCACTGAACTATATTCCCAACCTCATGAGCATAGTTTTCTTCTTTTATTTTTAAGGGAAATGGCAAAAATATCTGACATGCATATGTATACATACATATGTTACATAGAGTTTTTATATTTGCCCTGTATTTTCAGGTGAGAAGGGAAAATGCATGAAAGACACATGTAAGCTTATGGTGATAATGGATTAAAGTCACGATCACCAGAACAGTGGGAGATGAGTGTTTGTGGCTTCTTCTTACTATGGAAAACAATGCAGGTCTTTTTCAAGATGTCCTTTTTTCTTGGTAAGAAGGCCCAGTGATTATAAGGACTGACTTATGCAGGCACCTTCATTTGCCCAGCAGCATTTAAAGTTCTGCAGGCATATTAATTTGTAAAAATCTGAGAAGAAACAGGTAAGGCGGTTGATGCCAAAGCTAATTAAGAAATGGATCCAAGGTCACCCAGCTAGCCAGCCAGAAGGGAAGCTGAGTAATCCAGGTGTTGGGCTCCACAGACAAGGAGATCTG